GCCTATGCACAACATCATGTCTATAACCTAGGACAAGTAAAGTTAAAAATAATAAAAAACCTTATTTCAAACTAATTTAAGTTGGCTAACTGAAATAAATATATATTCAAGAAACTTAATTGTACTGTACAGGAAACTTGATCCTGAAGTATTAACTATAATTTTTTATTGATGGTTCAAAAATTGCTTAACATGCATAATCCAAAGCAGTCATATTTCTATACAAAAAATTGAAATTAAAAGTTATCAAGACTGCCTTGAAAAGTTTCCAAAAGCCTCCTAATATTTAAATCAAAAAAGTGGGGATAGGGGAATAATGCCCTGTAATGCTAATAAAAGACACCCATGAAAACACATATGGTGTCAAAATAAGCCAAAGGAAAATTGTTTGGGAAAAAAATGAAAAGAATCCCAAGTCTAATTTATAAAAATGATTCCTTTATCAACCTTTGGTCGAGAATATGTTTGTATATTTCCAGAAAACTCCTCCAAGCCCATGTGGATTCCTACAACGAATTCCAAAGAGTAACTGACAGGACTGCTCCAGCCACAGAATAGCAGTAGCCCCAGAACAACAGAAGACAGTCCAGAAATGGAGATGGTAAAGACGCCTTGCCATGCTAGTAGTCAGCAGCTGTGCGTCACTGCAGGTTGCCCAGGACCAAACTAGAGAAAGTCGGACCTGCATTGCCACCGTCTGTCCACCATCCAGAACTGAAATATCATTGCTGACATGTACACCTAAGAACTGTTGGACACTGAAATGGGGACTCTAAGAACTGTCGGCCCAGAAAGAAACTCACTGCAAACTGATTCCTTTAATGCCTGGCAGCAATTTAAGGGGACATGATAGAACTCTGTCCTTTCCATTGAATTTAAGAATCTTAAAACATACATTCTTGTTAAATTTAAAAAATCAAAAAGGGTGAGATGCCGTAGACCAATTCCAGCATGCCATAATTTCAAGAGTTTCATCAAAAGGTTGATGAAACTTGGGGACTCAACAGGGTTGAGTCACACATGTAGTCACCTGTTGGGAATGGCTAAAGGCATTTCCCCAAACCTGAACAGGAAACTGATTGTGGCTGCCAGACAGTTAAAGGGCATCTTAACCTACATGTTATTGCCTCCTGCTGGCCAAACACCTGAACAGCCGTGGGCTAATTCCCCCAAACTGACAATGCTTCTGTACCCTTTGAAACCTTACCCTTTGAAGTGTATTATTTCCACCTTGCCCTAGGATAAATTGTGACACATAGCACTTTTCCAGATTCCTGAACCCTTCTTGATGCTGGGACAAGAACCCCGGCAGTCCTTTTTGGCTCTGGGCAGCCTGACTAAGGTCTGAGATGTTGAATCCATTAGTCATCCAGTGCTCAGGGACTCCTTAGTCCAGAGGCTGTGTCTGCCTTGAGTCTCAGCCTTGACTGTCCCTGTTCTGAGCTGTACTCCCTTCCCCACAGAGCGTGTCCGCAGGTGTCAGCTGCAGGTGCTTGGGGTCCCACTGGCTTTGACCTCACTGAGCCGTCCAGGATGGTGTCTGTGGCAGGGACCCAAACTGCTGTTTCATGATAGTATGTGTTTAGATGTCAGATTTCCAAGAGGTTAACAAGTGAATGATTTATAAGTACATTGAAGGTTCATACTGTAGAATGCTCTTTGCAAAGTTCAAGAGGAAAACAGAGAAAATAATAACTTGGGGAAAATAAGAATCAAACCAAGAACTTATCCTTTTGCATATATGAGAAGCTTAAATAAAATTTTAAAAAAGATAGAGTGGGGGAAGTAGAAGAAAGTAGTAGGGGGAATAAATGGTAATGGAAGGAAATTAGACATGGGATACTGAACACACAATATATAGATGATGCATTATAGAATTGTACACCTGAAATCTATATAATTTTATTAACTAATGTCACCCAATAAAGTCAATAAAAATACATTAAAAAAGGAAAATATATGAATTTTAAAAATATGTACTCTGAAGTATCCAAACCAGGATGTCTCAAGTGCTAAGTTTTCCTGTCATGGACTGCATGCTGGTGTCCCCACAAAATGCATATGTTGAGTGAGCCAGAGCAAGCCAGGGGAAGAGCTCTCCCCGCAACCCAGCCATGCTGGCACCTGAGCTCATACTTCCAGCCTCCAAAACTGTGAGAAGAGAATTAAATGTCCATGACTCAAGGTGAGTCTTTGGTGTTTTGTTCTAGCAGCCCCAACCGAGTGAGGCAGCTTCAAAAAGGCATGGCTCATTCTATTGTGCAATACTATCAGCTGGTGTCTCTTCATGAAACCTAGACAGACGTGAGGAAGAAGTCGTCTAACTCAGCATTCCCTTGCTAACTCTCACATCCCACCAAATCTCCCCATGACAGTATCAGTGAAAAAGAGAGAAAGTAAGAATGCTCTTTGCAAAGTTCAAGAGGAAAACAGGGAGAATAACAACTTGGGGAAAATTGCAGATCAGAAAATACACCTGGATACTAGTATCATCAACAGACTCCAAAAGGCGCGGGGGAGTAGGTGATAGGGAAGTAATACGGACCTACTGCCGAGGGCAGAAAATTAACAAAAGGAATCACAACAAAACACATACTTGGGCTCCTTTTTAAATGCACAAAGTAAATCCATCTGATAAAGCAGCTTTGAAAATGGCTCAGGAAGTTTAAAATAAAGATAATTTATAAGTGAATAAATGACATTTGTGTTAATTATCCAGTTAATAAATTTTACTCCAAAACAATGTATAATCTCACAAGTTAGAAGTTGCCTGGTTAAGAGACCCTACATTAAAGCAATGTCACCAGTTGCTTTGTTCTAGTTCAGGGGTGGGCAAACTTTTTGACTCGAGGGCCACAATGGGTTCTTAAACTGGACCGGAGGGCCGGAACAAAAGCATGGATGGAGTGTTTGTGTGAACTAATATAAATTCAAAGTAAACATCATTACAGAAAAGGGTACGGTCTTTTTTTCTTTTTAGTTTTATTCATTTCAAACGGGCCGGATCCAGCCCGCGGGCCGTAGTTTGCCCACGGCTGTTCTAGTCTCATCTTCCAGGATGTCCCAGCTCTCCTTGGCTCCCTAGACATGAGAGATTCTTTTTTACCCATGCTAAGTGCACACAGTCTGAAGAAGTCTATTTACACAGTTGATAAAGTATTTGTGATGTCAAAGAGATTGAAGTTAAAATGCTAACTCAGTTCTCATAAACTCATCCTTCTGTAAGTACTTTTTGGGGACTCGTGGTTCTGTTTTTCCCAAAAAGGGCGTTTCAAGGGTTGTCAAGAAACAAACACACAGAGAATCCACACCCTACTTCCCTGTGACTGCCAGGCCAATGGCATGTGTTAGCGTTACTATCACTGGAATATTAACATTCAAATCAAACAACAAGCTTTCATACAGACCACAGATCCACAGATCTAGAAAAACAGAGTGGGGGTAGGGGGAAAAGGAAAGTTGCAAAGGTATCGAAATGAATGGGGCTAAAACGGTAGTGTCCTCGTTCCTAAGGTGAGAATAAACGAAAGGAAACTCTTTATAGAGAACAGAAAAAAGTCTCGAGAAATTCAGAAGCTATTTCTTACTTATGTGGATACTTAGGAAGAAAAAACATAAACTTGACATGTGTCTGGCATGGTATACAGCTCCTGCTGAACTACTGTCCTGTAAAAGGCTTACTAACTACATAGAGAAAACTCTGGTCACAAAAACCCAAGCAAAGACCTATATATATATGTATCTAACAAAGAAGCATTTACTGCTTTATAACCAAACACTGAGGCCTTATAATTTTATCAGGAGATATAAATTATAAAGTGTCGTATATTATTTTCCTTTCATGTTTATCAAGCTAGGAACAGCTACACCTGGGGAAACGTCTATTTACAGACTTTTGGCTGTATAAGAGAGACATGGTTTTCCTTTGATGCTGAGTTTGGAATCTTCTTAAAAAAGACACAACTTCTGCCCTAGCTGGTTTGGCTCAGTGGATAGAGCGTCAGCCTGCGGACTGAAGGGTCCCAGGTTCAATTCTGTTCAAGGGCTGCGGGCTCGATCTCCAGTGGGGGGCGTGTAGGAGGCAGCCAATCAATGATTCTCTCTCATCATTGGTGTTTCTCTCTCCCTCTCTCCCTCTCCCTTCCTCTCTGAAATCAATAAAACTAAAAATATTTTTTTAAAAACCAAAACCTTGTTATTCTTCCAGAGATTATTTTAAAGAATTGGTCCCAGGTCCTACTTCTGCTATCCACTTTTCTCAAAAAAACTCATTAGATGTCAAAACAGGGAAAGAGGGAAAGTAAAACTAGGCAAAGGCAAAGGGAAATGTGTGTGAGCTTCACAGTGGCTTCTCTCGTGCCTGGGAGACAGGACACAGTCTGGAAATGCCGGTGTTTCAATCGCCTGTGACAAAGCTGAACATTCTGCTGAAACCTGCTCTTCACAAAAATTATTCTAAAAAGGTGCCATTTCAAAATTGGGGAAACTTATGAAAGGCATAGACAAATACTTCATGTTACAAAAATAAAAACTTAAGGTATTTTTGCTGCTGTGGATAAATCATACAAGCATTTCCAAAAGATGAGGTGATTAAAAATAAAGAAACAAATAAAAAGTAAAAGATCCAAAGAACCACTAACACACATTAAATCACACAAATTCTACATGATCCAAACTGCAAATGGGAATAGGAAGAAGATAGTAAGAATTCAACACCTATTCATGTTACATGGAGGAACCTGACCCAAAGATTTAAAGACACTTTCCTAACATGAACAAAATGAAAGAGAAGATGAGGAACGTGGCCTATTCTTACTCGACAATGTTAGTTTCTAGCAACCTTAAGCTTCCACATCACCGCCACATCGGCCCCAGGCTCCCTTTCCCTGCAGCACAGCATGCCATGCAGAGCAGACACAGGAAGGCTGTAGTTATTTAAAAGAGGAAACAGCATGAAGCAAGCTCCACAGGTGCAAGGCTGATTGGCTATATGAGCTTACCATAGATCTCGGATCTACTCTCCTCTGAACTAGACTTTGTCTTCTTGGAGGAGCTTTCTGCACAAGAGCGGGAGAAAAGGAGAGAGATGTAGAAAATACGGAGACCAATGTAAGGGAAAAACTAATGGGGGAAAGGAATGAATCATGATCAAGTTAAATCGTGCAAAGTATGAACATCCAGGTGACAGCACTAAGAACAGTCACAGACAGCACAGGCAATGACACATTTTACAGATTTACCAGAGACAAGACAGTGCAATAAAATATATTCAAACAAAACGAAACGTGAATAGTCTACAAAATACATCATCTGGAAATTTTAGAGACAGCAAAAGCACTAAAAGCTATAATAATCTCATTAGGAAGCATTACATATCACTTGCTAAATGTGTCACATCACAGATGAACACTACAGAATAAGTCAATCAATAAGACCATAATACTTTTATGAACACAGGCAGAAAACTGACCCTCACTAGCAAGACAATAAGTCAAAATTAGGTGTCAGAAATTTTTTAAAAAGGTATCTTTTAATGGAGATCTAGAAGTTACATATTACATACTCCAACCACCAAAACTTTCTAAATTGATGACTGAGGTTTCACTTTTACCTACTACCGAAGATGCAGGTAAGTTATTAGCTATTCACTTTCTTTCCTTCCTAGATAACAAAAGTAAAAGCATGAAGCATCTTAATGAGACACAAAAATATACTTGCTTTCTATTAAAAATTAAATTTTATTTCTAAATGAAAATATCTAAAAACAGATACATTTTATTTATGTAGCTGGGACCTCAGCATTTACTTACTTTATCTTTTGTCACAGGAACATACCACTGAATAAAATAGTATGTGCACAAATAACACACATCAGTTTCAAATGGTGAAAGCAGAATTATCAAGTAATTTTTATAAATTAAATACTTGGTACATTTATAAGGAGAAAGCAAATGCCTGTATTTTACAAGAGGAGGTCAAACTCTGTATAAATAAAGGCTTTCAGTAGGTCACTGACACAAAAACGCTAGGAAAGGGTAAAAGACGTTCTGAGTGCAGAATCCTCTTTGACTGAAGAAAAAGGTCTCTTCATTTGCTTACTCTAAAATGATAATTAATTTTGAAATTGCATTTTATCTACTCCAGGTCTGAATGCTTAAATGACTACGGAAATTGGTAGTTGTTGTACACTTAATTTTATGACATACTACTTACTTATTGGTTCATACCTATGACTTATTTTAATTCTAAGTCCTTAGTCGTTAACAAAATACCCAATTATGATATAAACACTATTTCTAAATATGATACACTTTACAATGAAGCTTCCATAGTGGAATCCAAAGTATTGAAAGTTAAAACTGCTTGCATTTCTCTTGAATGCCAAATTTACGTCATCACTGAAGAAGGAGGAGAGCCCTACACAGAAGTCCTACTTCTGAAACAGGTGCTCAGGCAGTTATGCAGCTTGAGTGATAGTATTCTGAAGCTACTGCTTTCAATATTCTTTGGAAGAACAAACTGGTTTTTTTACCTGTGGGGTCAAAATCATGTGATGCACTGCGCTCAACTCTCTGCTTCTTATCAGCTGGTGACTCTCGGTTCAAAATACTTCCATGCCTAAATCAAACCAAAGCAACCAGATATGTACTCCAGAACAGTCATTAGAATAAAAACTTAATTTAAAAATTTCAAGTGTGTCTTACAGAGAGAGACCAAGAAATCAGTTTACCTTACACTGTCTCATAAACCTCTCTACTTTTTCAAGAAGTTTTAAAATTCAGGCTATGCTACATGTAACACAGTGGCTCTTTACTTGGTTATAAAAAGTGCTTAAAATTAGAAAAGTAGTATTCAGCAATAAAGTTTGTTTTATTCTTAGATATACTGCTTAAATTCTTTTAGTGGTTTTCAAAGGCTACTCATTATTATTTTCATTTAACAGATAAGAAAACCATGCCTACAAGTAATTCAATACATTTCCCAAACCTAAGTATGCCATAGTCAGATTTAAAATCACTGTGTAAATACAGCACTGATGTTAGCAGTTGAAAAAAAATCACTGGGAAGCTGCACTTAAAACCTGCGAATAGTTCTAGTCACAGGAGTCGTATGCAAGCCCTGATGACACAAGAATTCTTCTTCTTCTTATGGTCTATCAAATTACATTGATCAATAATGGCTAGGCAGTAAATAAGACTGACTATGATGCATGCACTACTAATTAATTGAAATCCCAAAATTAACACTGGTGTCCTGAACTCTGGTGTCATTAAAAATGATAAATGTACTACAAATGTAGGTAGGAATGACATACTACTTACATTTAAATAATATTTCTGATAAGATGAGAGAGAGACGTTGAAGAACAAGTATTAAGAAAGAGGCATTTAATCCTGGAAAATTAATGAATGTGCAGATATCGATATGGGCACAGACATCTGAACATTTTGGATTTTTCCCTTTACTGTCTTAAAGGAATTAAGACTGACTGTTTGCCAAAGTTCATTAACTAAAGGTAGTTACAGTTACCAGATGATAAAACACATCAAAAACTAGTAATCCATTTACACTCCCTAAGCTATTCACAACCAAAAACAGTCATAATAGATTTTAAAATCTGTAATAGAGTCAACAATAAAAAGAAATAATGATAATAAAAAGAAGAGGAAAGGGGGAAAAAATAAAAGCAAATAAAAAAAAAATGTAAACCTCTTCATAGGGAGTGACCTTAATACCGATTTGAACTTTTAAAATGTTTGTATTAGCCAAACCGGTTTGGCTCAGTGGATAGAGCGTTAGCCTGCGGACTGAAAGGTCCCAGGTTTGATTCCGGTCAAGGGCATGTACCTTGGTTGCGGGCACATCCCTAGTAGGGAGTGTGCAGGAGGCAGCTGGTCGATGTTTCTCTCTCATCGATGTTTCTAACTCTCTATCCCTCTCCCTTCTTCTCTGTAAAAAAATCAATAAAATATATTAAAAAAATAAATAAATAAAAATAAAATGCTTGTATTAAAAACATTGAAAATGTTATCAAAACAATGTCATCTTCTAGAAAAAATAGAAACATCTATTACATTCTAATTTGTAAAATATTTTGAAAATTTAAACTAAAATCCACATTACAAAAGCCACAAAAAATCCACCATAATTTCAAAGAAATAATTCTAATGAAAATTTAACCTAAATGTATGAAGAACAACTGAACAACTTACCTTATAGGTTTTTTGAGGGGAAACCTGAAATAAAGTAAAAAAAAAAAAAAGGATAAATGTAATTATTTCACTTGTAAGACAGTCATTAAATTTATTTCATTCTATTAAACCAGAATAAGGAATTTAAATTTTATGCTAACTTTCCCAAAGCAATTCAACAAACAGATGAAGAAGCTGGGTATCATTGTTAATATCTTAAATACTTCATTAAATCTTAAATTGCAGGTGTATTTATCATCAGCTGTCCCTGAGTATGGTTTCTCTTTTTTAAAATCCAAATAATAGCCCTGGTCAGTGCTCAGTGGTTAGAGCATCGGCCCATGGCCCAAAGGGTCACAGGTTCAATTCCCAGTCAAGGCCATGTACCTCAGTTGCAGGCTCGATCCCTGGCCCCAGTCTGGGTGTGAACAGGAGGCAACCAATCAGTGCCTTTCTCTCACACTGATGTTTCTCTCTTTCTCTCCTCCCTTCCCTCCACTGTCTAAAAATCAATGGGAAAAATATCCTCAGCTGAGGGTTAAAAAAAAATCCAAATAAGAATAACAGCTAGATTTATGAAGGGCTTACTAAATACTAAGTACTACTCTAAACTGTTTATATGTATTATCTTATTTAATCCTAAAAAATAACTATGAAGATATTTCCATTTTACAGGTTTTTAAAAAAGGGCAAAGATGTATTTTACCATTAAAATGTTATACTTTGTCTCCCTAAGAAGAAAAAGTTCCTTCCTGTCTATCACCTCTCCTCACCCCTTAAAAGACCTGGTGCTGACTGCTGCTCTATTGACCTGTCTACCCTTTGATCATGATCAAAGCATGATCCTCAATTATTTATGTTTAACTTTATAACAGGAACCTATAAAAAGTTACCACTGCAGTAGTATCAATTATTAAAAATATGTTCCTAAAGTAGAAAACAGAAGGTATTTTTTTTTTCAATTCTATAAGCTAAAAGAACTAAATCATTTCCTCTTGGTTGTCTTTTTTAAAAGCAATATTACGGGAGGCTTCTTGATAAGAGTTTGATACTATACATAGATGCTAACCTAAGTCTAAAATGAGTTCTTAAATTTCTTCAATTTCTGTGTTTTTTAGAAATTATCTCAACCTATGGTATTTTATGTAATATTATTTATTCTAGTAATAAAACAGGTAACATGTTACAAATATCAGTAAAATGGGGTTTTCGAAAAAAAATCTAATAGTAAAGATAGTAAGAGATAAATATAAAACAATGACACCTAATTGACTACTTTATTTGGCATGGAGTTTAGTTTTAAAAAAGTACAAGTTTAATTACAATTCCCTTTAACTCCTATAAATCAAAGTTGATCCTAAGAAAGACAAAGAATCTAAAAGCGTGCCTAATAAGCACGTTAACTCACAACGAAGGTAGGAATAACAAGGAGGGGCTCTGGGTAAGCGAACACTGTGCTGGAGAACACACTGACTACAAACGATGGCCAGTCTTCAGCAGGACACGCTCCTCAGCAGTCCCTCCTTGCTGTGGGCAGGGGGCAGGAACATGTGTTTGTGTGTGATTCGCAGATGCACACGAGCACTGGAGGGAAAAATAATGTCCAGCCGAGTTTCTGCAAAGGCTAACACATGCAGGTAGCAACCTTGGTCACTGCCTGGTGGCCACTGCAAAGGTTCCTACCCCCAAGCAGCGCTACTGCGTCAGGGACTGCCACGCCCAGGGAGGTTCTGGGAAGAATCGGAAGTTCCCAGACCAGTGCCGGTCAGACAGTTTCCTGAGCTATTTCTCTTCCAGGGAATGAAAAAGGAGGGCATAAAAGAGGAAAAAGTGGAATGAGAAGATGAAGAACAAGGACCACCCTGCAGTATAACCAGTAGAACTTACTTATCATAATCTATTATTATATTCATAAAATACAGATAAACAACTTTTCTCAAACGAAACTTTTTAAATCATAATACTTTTTCTCTAGTCACTAAATTCCACTTTAGATTACGTGCGGAAGCACATATGTGTGTTCCTATGTCGTGCAGTTGCATACACACATAATTAATGACGTCAGGGACTTCCTGGCTTTTGCACTTGTTCCCTCTGCCATGTGCTTGATGCTGAGATGGAGATGCAAATCAGATAGCTAGAAATAGGAAACTAGGACCCCAAGGAAAAGTAGTCAGAACAGGGTTTATTATAAAATTGGGTTTTAAAATTGCTTTTTTAGAGTCTGCAGAGTTGAGTCACCCACCCATAGATGGTCACTAAAATGGAAAACAGCATGTAAAGATGAAGGATCGCCCTAGCCCAGTGGTTGGCAAACTGCGGCCCCTTGAGTGTGGCTCTTCCACAAAATACCACGTGCGGGCGCGCACTTACAGTGCGACTGAAACTTCGTGGCCACACTCAAGGGGCCAAAGAGCCACATGTGGCTCGCAAGCCGCAGTTTGCCGACCATTGTCCTAGCTGGTTTGGCTCAGTGGATAGAGTGTCGGCCTGCAGTCTAAAGGGTCCCAGGTTCAATTCCAATCAAGGGCACATGCCCGGGTTGCGGGCTTGATCCCCAGTGGGGGGTGTGCAGAAGGCAGCCAATCAATGATTCTCTCTCATCATTGATGTTTCTCTCTCTCACCCTCTCCTCTCCCTTCCTCTCTGAAATCAATAAAAATATGTTTAAAAAAAAAATGAAGGATCAAATCCTGAGGCAGGTGGGAGGGGAGGTAGGGGGACTAGCTTCTAAATGACTGTGAATGTGAGACCCAATGAAGAAGATGAAGAAGATAAATCAGAAAAGAAAAAGAGCTGTCATAGGGGCCAACAAAGAAGAGGTAATCAATACTATTAAATGCTGCACAATGCAGATATAAAGGCTAATAATTGGCCATATTCTAAGCAACAAATTAGCCCAATACTAGGCTGATGAAATAATTCTGGTGTTCAAAACTTTGTATTTTCAAATCTGTCCATTGTGTAGTAAGTAATAAAACTGTGGTAAACTCCTTTGGTTAGATATTTATGTAGAAAAGCTACATTTAAATGCTGATACATATAATGTTAGATGTGCCTAATCAAACTGTCTGCCTTTTGAAAATATCAGTGATGATTTGGACACATAGCCAAACAATGAACATGTTTGTGCACCTATTTATATATGATGTACATATGTATATATGTATGTACGTACTTTTTCCAGATATGACAAAATCAAAGTACCAAAATGAAGAACCATAATAAATAAAAAGATTATCAGGAATTTGAGTATAAGGTGACTAGACACCCTTATTTTGATTACCTAATTTTCAACTGGTGTGCTGCAAGAATTTTTAAAACATGCAATACCTACTTAGAGCACTGACCTCTTTTCCCCCAGTGGTTCTCAACCTTCTGGCCCTTTAAATACAGTTCCTCATGTTGTGACCCAACCATAAAATTATTTTCGTTGCTACTTCATAACTGTAATGTTGCTACTGTTATGAATCATAATGTAAATATCTGATATGCAGGATGGTCTTAGGCGACCCCTGTGAAAGGGTCGTTCGACCACCAAAGGGGTCGCGACCCACAGGTTGAGAACCGCTGCCTTAGACTGTGAAATAAAAAAAATGACAACGGCCAACACAACAACAGCCATCTTGTGCAAATGTATAAAAATTATACCTATTTTTTGTCAGATTGGCAAAAAATATACTTTAGGTGAGCCACAGAATGTTAGTAATTAGTTTATGTGCCATGAGATGAAGGAAGCTGAAAATTGCTGACCTATACTCAGCATACTCATATGCCAGAAAGCCTAACCAAAGGCCTTAAATGTCACATACTTGACTAAGGATAGATGCCTTTCTTTGTTAGTTCTCAGTTCTATTAAAGCCCTAGGTAAGAATATATAGCAGCCCCCCCCCCATTTTTTTAAAATCCTCACTTGAGAATATGTTTATTTATTTTGAGAGAGAGAGAAAGGGAGCAGAGAAAGAGAGAAACATATGCACTCCATATGCACTCCAATGAGAAATCAAACCCGCAACCATTTTTGGTGTATGGGACCATGTTCCAACAAACTGAGCCACTGTCCAGGGCCTAACTTTTCTATTTTTACAGACTTTCCAATATGTTATTATAGTGGACTAGAGGCCCAGTGCACTAAATTCATGCACTTGTAGGGTCCCTAGCAGCTGCTGCCGCCACCGGAGCCTCCCTCCCTTCCCCTGGCCAGCCCCACCCCCTCTTTGAACTCCTGGACAACCTTCCAATTGAGGGAACAATTTGCATACTATGCTTTTATTATACAGGATAGGGAAATGTGATTAAATAACCCTAACCCCCCCAAAATTATACAATGTGTAAAGCTTCCATTTTTAACTAGGTTTAACTAGTCTACAACATACTTGTGCACCAGTGGGGTCCCTCGGCCTGGCCGCGGGATCAGGCCAAAACCAGCTCTCAGACATCCCCCAAGGGGTCCTGGGTTGTGAGAGGATGCAGACAAGGCGAGGGACCCCACTGGGCACGATCGGGCCGGGGAGAGACGCGGGAGGTGGGCCGGCCGGGAAGGGCCACAGGAGGGTCCAGGGCGTGTCCGGCCTCTCTCACTCAGTCCTGATCGGCTGGACCCCAGCAGCAAGCTCCCCTACTGGTCAGAGTGTCTGCCCCCTGACCAGTGCACGTCATAACAAGTGGTTGACCAGCCTTCACATATCATTAGCATATTACGCTTTAATTGGTTCAACGGACAACCAAACAACCAAACACTTAGCATATTAGGCTTTTATTACTTAGGACTAGAGGCCCGGCGCACAAAATTCATGCACAGGAGGGGGGTGTCCCTCAGCCCAACCTGCACCCTCTCCAATCTGGGACCCCTCTCACAATCCAGGACTGCTGGCCCCCCACCACTCGCCTGCCTGCCTACCTGCCTGCCTCATTGCCCCTAACCGTTTCTGCCTGCCAGCCTGATCACCGTCTAACCACTCCCCTGTCAGCCTGATTGACGCCTAACTGCTCCCCGGCCGGCCCGGTCACCCCTAACTGCCCTCCCCTGAAGGCCTGGTCCCCCC